GGTCCGAAGCGCCTGCGTGACTCCCTCACTAACCAGATAATTACTCTGATAATGTCAGTATTATACCCAGTAACACTGTGAGGAATCTTGGAGTCATTTTTGACCAAGAACTCTCCTTCAAGGCTTATATAAGCCAAGCAACTAAAACGGCGTACTTCCACCTACGGAACATCGCTAAAATTAGGAATTTCCTTCCTAAAAGTGACGCGGAAAAACTTATTCACGCGTTTGTCACCTCAAGGCTCGACTACTGTAACGCTTTACTGGCAGCGTGCCCTAAAGCCTCTTTGAAGAGCTTCCAGCTCGTTCAGAATACAGCAGCTAGGATCTTAACAGGTACCAAAAGGAGGGAGCACATGACTCCGGTGTTATAATCACTCCACTGGCTCCCTGTGGAGTACAGAATAAAGTTTAAAATCCTTCTCTTAACATATAAAGCCATAAATGGCTTGGCTCCTTCTTATCTCCAAGACACGTTAGTGTCGTATCAACCAAGTCGAGCGTTGCGCTCACAAAACGCCAGACGTCTGGTGGTCCCTAAGGTCTCAAAAATCACTGTTGGTGGCAGAGCATTTAGCTCCAAGCTCCTTTACTGTGGAATCAGCTTCATTTATGTTAAGGAAGCAGATACGGTCTCCACATTCAAGGCCAGGCTTAAAGCACTCTACTTTAATTTAGCATATAATTAGGTAATATATAACATATGGTGTATATATTATATATATATGCTGTATTATGTTATATATTATGTTATATATTATACAATATATGTATTATGTTATGTATTGTGTTATGTTGTATATTATGTTATATATTATGCTGTATATTATTTTGTGTATTACATATGATATATATGGTATGTATGGTATATGTGATGTATATGATATATAATATATAATTAGGTTTGCTTGGATCGGTTTGCACACCTGGTGTGCAATCCATGAATCTTGGTGCTGTAGCCTGGGCTAGCCTAGCCGTGGCTGCTGCTGTCTCGCCTCCTTTCAGATACGCTCTCTTTATTCAAGGCTAGGTTTAAAACAGTCCTCTTTAGTTTAGCATATGGCTAGGAAGGTAAGACTCAGGGAAGGCTAAACTCCTCAGACTGTCAGTCAAGCTGCATAGGGAGCCCCCTGCTGGAGAAGTATGGTAACTGCACTATCCTCTCCTCCTTCCTACTTTATCTGTTTAGCATTTTTAGGATTTTGACTGTAGTTTGTTCATTGCTATTCACCCGTTGGTCCACTGGTCCACGTCCTGTAGCTATAGCTTAGGTCCTGGATCATTAGCCTGTCCGTCCGGAGGAGCGGATCCCTTTCTCAAATGGGTCTCCCTCCCTGTGGGTTTCCCTAGTTCTCCCCAAGGTTTCTCACTTTTTCCCACTGGGTTTTTTAAGAGTTTTTCCTTGTCGATGCAGGAGGGTCTTGTTGGACAGTTAGTGTCCAACAGAAAGGATTGGTGATGATCAGGACACTTTAGCATTCTACAACATGTATGGACATTTTCTTCTGTGTGTGCTTTATATTCTTCATGTGTTTTAACTGTTGATTCTCTGACCTGTGTTGGTGATTTCAATGGTTTTGTTAAGTCTCTGAGATGACTTCTGTTGTGACCTAGGGCTATACAAGAATACATTCTATTGTATTGTATATACACCCACAGCAGGACCATGTACCCTAGACCATATACACCCACAGCAGGACCATGTGACCTAGACCATATACACCCAGAGGACCATGTAACCTAGACCATATTCACCCACAGGACCACGTAACCTAGACCGTATTCAGCCGAGGACCATGTGACCTAGACCATATTCACCCACAGGACCATGTGACCTAGACCATATACACCCACAGGACCATGTGACCTAGACCATATACACCCACAGGACCATGTAACCTAGACCATATACACCCACAGGACCATGTGACCTAGACCATATACACCCACAGGACCATGTACCCTAGACCATATACACCACAGGACCATGTGACGTAGACCATATACACCACAGGACCATGTGACCTAGACAATATACACCCACAGGACCATGTAACCTAGACCATATACACCCACAGGACCATGTAACCTAGACCATATACACCCACAGGACCATGTGACCTAGACCATATACACCACAGGACCATGTGACCTAGACCATATTCACCACTGCAGGACCATGTACCCTAGACCATATACACCACAGGACCATGTGACCTAGACCATATACACCACTGCAGGACCATACTGTGCTTGTTGTGTGCGTGTCTTTGCGTTCACACAATAAATACACACAGCGCTGCAAGAAACAATCTGCGTCTTCCTTGTGTCTAAACTAAATTAAAGCTGGGGTACGTAAATGTTCCTCTTGCATGAACAGTTCATGTGGTTGTGCCCAAAAGTAAAATGTTGTGAACAACTCAAACAGATTTAATGACAGCCATTGGCTTTCATTCTACATTTCAGACTTCTTTGAAATCTCCCTCATCCCTGTAACAAACAATAAGGTGCATATATCCTGAGCCTCCACAGTATGTGCTTCTACAAACTGTAAAAATAACCGCACAAAAAAACATGCAAAAAGAAACGGCCGGGTCGTCAAGGAGGCTAAAATGCCCGAGCCGTTTTTTGGTCCCAGTCCAGCCGTTCATACAAGAACTGATAATCTCCTGAAGTTTGCTACAGCGCATTTGGATGATCCAGAAGAGGATTGGGAGACTGTCCTATGATCAGATGAATCCAAAACAGAACGTTTTGTAAAAACTCAACTGGAAGTTTGGAAGAGAAAGGGGGTGGGAACATTATGCTTTGGGGCTGTGTTTCTGAAAAGGGACCAGGGCGACTGATCCGTGTAAAAGTCAAAATGAATGGGGCCATGTATCCTGAGATTAGGAGTGAAAACCTCCTTCCATCAGCGAGGGCTTTGAAGAACAAAGGAACTGCTTCAGGAGCATTTCAAGGTCCTGGAGCCTCAGTCTCAGATCTCAACTCCATAGAACCCTAACCCAAAACATCACTGTTCTAGAGAGATCTGCTGGAGGAATGGGCCCAAATACCAGTCTGTGAAAACCTGAAGACTCACAGAACATGCTTGAGCTCTGTCATTGCTAACAAAGGGAATATACAGTAACAATATTAATGTATTGAGACTTTTGTGATTGACTAAATACTTTTTTCTGTCTCAGTGAGTCCTCTGTCCAGGTGTAACACTGGTGTCGAAAGCCCACCTGTTTGACTTGGCATATGCTCTTAGGCCATTATTACTCATTGGCTGCTGAGCGAGTGGTCATGTGACCGCAGCCACCCAATCAGTGTTGTTTATATGCGTGAACCTGGAAGCGGCGCATACGCGAGGGGAAGCCGTGTTTGTTTGCTGCAGAGGTGCGTTTCATGCATTGTTCTCGTGACTATTACCTGTATGACTTTGGAAATTAAATGCCACTTGTTTCACTGTAGAGCTGATCACCAGCGTCGGATCGTTCTCCGATTGAGCCTTGCGTGTTTAGAAAGTCGGTAAGTCAATGTATTTAGCACTTGCCGCTCCTCAGTCAATTGCCTCCGTGTGTCCATGACGTAAATGAATGAATCATGATGATCAATGCTTATGTTTAATAACAGAATGTTTGTTTGAACTATTATATATGCACATGGTGTTTTTTAGTCAGCATTATAATAATATGGTCTGCTTAAATACATAACATAAATAGCATAGCAGTTTCACTAAAGTTACTCACTTTGGGAATAACTATATGTACTTTTGAGTGTTGGTATTATGCTTCTCTGTGTGTCTTATATACACATGTTGAATTGTATATGCTGCTAATATTTTCTACTCTAGCACTATACTCTAGTATTTTGATACATTGATATGACTAGTCTTTCTGAATTATATTGTGCAATATTGATACTTTATTAAGAGAGTTATCTCAGGTCTTTATAATACAGTAAGTGTTATTTATTTAGAATGAACGAGATTGTGTACACATGAATTGATTTAGATGGTACTGCTGTTTTTACACAGGCCACATTTGATGGCGAGCTAAGGAACAGGCTTTTAGCCCAGAGATGAGACTCACCGGGAGATTCCTTCGAGGACCCCACCTACTGCTCTGTCCGGGCTGGTAGGAGGCTCTCGCAGCCGCCCCTCACACTCGATTGCACTACTCGCACTTTATTCTACGGCCTTCAACCAATAATACTCATTCCCTTCCTTCCACATCCTTCCTCTGGATTATATTCAAACTTTTGGGCCGTATAAACTTTGTCGCTCCACCTGTGCGAAAGAACTGAGCCGTGCTCTCATAATCAAAGGGCCGTGTCCCTATATGAACTGAACTATTCAAACATTCGATCTGTGCGGTTGAACTGTGTCTTGAATCATTGACTAATGTTGATTTCTATTGTTGACACTGTATATAACACCTGGGATTTATTATTGTATATTTGCACTGAATGGCCATTCATTTTAGCACTTGTCTTCATGTTAAATGTTTTACGTCTGTCTTGTCCATACACATACATGTTAATACAAACTAACTAGTTCAAAGCAAATCTCCAGCCTCCGCCTCTCTCTGCGAGTCTCACCAATCTTCTGAGATTCTCTAGCCTAACAACGACCTTAAATCTATATGGTACAGTACAATACCTGCTAAAATGTCCTCTAGTCTCTGTGAGGACCACCCAGTCCTCTGGTCTCTGTGAAGACCACCCAGTCCTCTGGTCTCTCTGTGAGGTCCACCCAGTCTTCTGGTCTCTGTGAGGTCCACCCAGTCCTCTAGTCTCTCTGTGAGGTCCACCCAGTCCTCTGGTCTCTATGAGGACCGCCCAGTCCTCTAGTCTCTGTGAGGACCACCCAGTCCTCTGGTCTCTGTGAAGACCACACAGTCCTCTAGTCTCTGTGAGGACCACCCAGTCCTCTAGTCTCTGTGAAGACCACCCAGTCCTCTGGTCTCTGTGAGGACCAACCAGTCCTCTGGTCTCTGTGAGGACCACCCAGTCCTCTAGTCTCTCTGAGGTCCACCCAGTCCTCTAGTCTCTGTGAGGACCACCCAGTCCTCTGGTCTCTGTGAGGACCACCCAGTCCTCTGGTCTCTGTGAAGACCACCCAGTCCTCTGGTCTCTGTGAGGACCACCCAGTCCTCTAGTCTCAGTGAAGACCACCCAGTCCTCTGGTCTCTGTGAGGACCACCCAGTCCTCTGGTCTCTGTGAGGTCCGCCCAGTCCTCTGGTCTCTGTGAGGTCCACCCAGTCCTCTGGTCTCTGTGAGGTTCACCCAGTCCTCTGGTCTCTGTGAGGACCACCCAGTCCTCTGGTCCCTGTGAGGACCACCCAGTCCTCTGGTCTCTGTGAGGACCACCCAGTCCTCTGGTCTCTGTGAAGACCACACAGTCCTCTAGTCTCTGTGAAGACCACCCAGTCCTCTGGTCTCTGTGAGGACCACCCAGTCCTCTGGTCTCTGTGAGGACCACCCAGTCCTCTAGTCTCTGTGAGGACCACCCAGTCATCTGGTCTCTGTGAAGACCACACAGTCCTCTAGTCTCTGTGAGGACCACCCAGTCCTCTGGTCTCTGTGAAGACCACACAGTCCTCTAGTCTCTGTGAGGACCACCCAGTCCTCTGGTCTCTGTGAGGACCACCCAGTCCTCTGGTCTCTGTGAAGACCACCCAGTCCTCTGGTCTCTGTGAGGACCACCCAGTCCTCTGGTCTCTGTGAGGACCACCCAGTCCTCTAGTCTCTCTGAGGTCCACCCAGTCCTCTAGTCTCTGTGAGGACCACCCAGTCCTCTGGTCTCTGTGAGGACCACCCAGTCCTCTGGCCTCTGTGAGGACCACCCAGTCCTCTGGCCTCTGTGAGGACCACCCAGTCCTCTGGTCTCTGTGAGGACCACCCAGTCCTCTGGTCTCTGTGTTCAGTCAGATATTGTTGGGCGGTCTCAGTCTTTTACCATTATTACTACTATAACTGTTACTACTATACCTCCCATCTCTGTGTGGAGTGAGAGACAAATGCCCAAAAAAAAGTAACAATTGTAAACCGCTTTGTGACTCTGGTCTGTGAAAGGCGCTATATAAATAAAGATTACTTACTAACTACTTACTATACAGACGGAGCTGTGGCTTTAGTCTGAGCTCTGACACTGCTGGATTCTCATCTCTGAGCTGTGAGGGCAGTGCTACCATAGCAACAGCCCCCATCACATCACTGACCAGGCCCTGACCTGCTTAGCCTCAGACACACATGAGTTACAGTCAGACTTACCGCTGATCGTCCTTTTTAAAGTTGATCCCTCGAGGAATGGAGCGTTCACTGCTCAATGACGCCGCCCTGCTGGTGGAAAATAAGTATTTAGTCAGATTAAAGTCAGTTTTCTGTCCCTCACAGTCTGTAACTTCTCCTTTAAGAGACTCCTCTGTCCTCCACTCGTTTACTTTATTAATGTCTGTTTTAACTCTATCTGTGTCAAAGACCCCTGTCCACGACCTCACACAGTCACACTCCAAACTCCACTGTGGCCAAGACCAAAGAGCTGTCAAAGGACACTAGAAACACACATGTAGACCTGCACCAGGCTGGGAAGACTGGATCTGCAGTAGGTAAGCAGTTAGGTGTGAAGAGAGCTGTGGGAGCAGTTGGAAGAGATACAAGAACTGATCATCTCTACTGTAAGGCACGCTTATTTGTATAGCACAATTCATACACAGAGCAACTCAAAGTGCTGAAGAAGACAAGATGGATAATCATAATAATAATAATAAAAATAATAATAATTACTCACTGACTGCCAGGCATTTTCAGATTTGAGAAGTGCGTTCTGCCAGTGTTTTCAGGTGATTTGACCCAACTTTGAAGTGCCACAGAATATTCATTTTTTAGACAATGTAAACACCAAGGGCACCAAATTAAAGACTAATCTCTCTGCTTTACTCTGAAAAAAACAGTTTGTTTCTACCTTGTACCGTTCTTGAGCTATTTGCCATAGAACAAAGCATACTTTCACCCATAACACCTGGTCTGAGCAAGAAAACAGAGAAAACGAGCTGTATGTAAACAGGAACATATCAAGCAGAAAAGAGACTTTTAGATGCATTTGTGCTGCTTTAGTGACAAATCAAACATCTTCACACTTGTTCCATTATAACAATGATAAAAACATGACTTTGAAATAATACTTTTGATGGCAAATTGTTGGCAATTTATTCAGACCAAAACCATCAACCAAAACATCCAACAACAAAGATCAATAAAACTATAAATAATAAAATAGAATGAAGCGTGTGAATTTGAGTGTGTGTGTGTGTGTCAGTGTGTGCATGTGAGTTAGTGAGTGTGTGCGTGTGTGTGTCAGTGTGTGAATGTGTGTGCATGTGAGTTAGTGAGTGTCTGTGTGCATGCGAGTTAGTGAGTGTCTGTGTGCATGTGAGTTAGTGAGTGTCTGTGTGCATGTGAGTGAGTGTCTGTGTGCATGTGAGTGAGTGTCTGTGTGCATGTGAGTGAGTGTCTGTGTGCATGTGAGTTAGTGAGTGTCTGTGTGCATGTGAGTTAGTGAATGTCTGTGTGCATGTGAGTGAGTGTCTGTGTGCATGTGAGTGAGTGTCTGTGTGCATGTGAGTGAGTGAGTGTCTGTGTGCATGTGAGTGAGTGTCTGTGTGCATGTGAGTGAGTGTCTGTGTGCATGTGAGTGAGTGTCTGTGTGCATGTGAGTGAGTGTCTGTGTGCATGTGAGTGAGTGTCTGTGTGCATGTGAGTTAGTGAGTGTCTGTGTGCATGTGAGTGAGTGTCTGTGTGCATGTGAGTTAGTGAGTGTCTGTGTGCATGTGAGTGAGTGTCTGTGTGCATGTGAGTGAGTGAGTGTCTGTGTGCATGTGAGTTAGTGAGTGTCTGTGTGCACCACCCAGTCCTCTGGTCTCTGTGAGGACCACCCAGTCCGCTGGTCTCTGTGAGGACCACCGAGTCCGCTGGTCTCTGTGAGGACCACCCAGTCCGCTGGTCTCTGTGAGGACCACCCAGTCCTCTGGTCTCTGTGAGGACCACCCAGTCCTCTGGTCTCTGTGAGGACCACCCAGTCCTCTGGTCTCTGTGAGGTCCACCCAGTCCTCTGGTCTCTGTGAAGACCACCCAGTCCTCTGGTCTCTGTGTTCAGTCAGATATTGTTGAGCGGTCTCAGTCTTTTACCATTATTACTACTATAACTGTTACTACTATACCTCCCATCTCTGTGTGGAGTGAGAGACAAATGCCCAAAAAAAAGTAACAATTGTAAACCGCTTTGTGACTCTGGTCTGTGAAAGGCGCTATATAAATAAAGATTACTTACTAACTACTTACTATACAGACGGAGCAGTAGCTTTAGTCTGAGCTCTGACACTGCTGGATTCTCATCTCTGAGCAGTGAGGGCAGTGCTACCATAGCAATAGCCCCCATCACATCACTGACCAGGCCCTGACCTGCTTAGCCTCAGGCACACATGAGTTACAGTCAGACTTACCGCTGATCGTCCTTTTTAAAGTCGATCCATCGAGGAATGGAGCGTTCACTGCTCAATGACGCCGCCCTGCTGGTGGAAAATAAGTATTTAGTCAGATTAAAGTCAGTTTTCTGTCCCTCACAGTCTGTAACTTCTCCTTTAAGAGACTCCTCTGTCCTCCACTCGTTTACTTTATTAATGTCTGTTTTAACTCTATCTGTGTCAAAGACCCCTGTCCACGACCTCACACAGTCACACTCCAAACTCCACTGTGGCCAAGACCAAAGAGCTGTCAAAGGACACTAGAAACACACATGTAGACCTGCACCAGGCTGGGAAGACTGGATCTGCAGTAGGTAAGCAGTTAGGTGTGAAGAGAGCTGTGGGAGCAGTTGGAAGAGATACAAGAACTGATCATCTCTACTGTAAGGCACGCTTATTTGTATAGCACAATTCATACACAGAGCAACTCAAAGTGCTGAAGAAGACAAGATGGATAATCATAATAATAATAATAAAAATAATAATATTAACTCACTGACTGCCAGGCATTTTCAGATTTGAGAAGTGCGTTCTGCCAGTGTTTTCAGGTGATTTGACCCAACTTTGAAGTGCCACAGAATATTCATTTTTTAGACAATGTAAACACCAAGGGCACCAAATTAAAGACTAATCTCTCTGCTTTACTCTGAAAAAAACAGTTTGTTTCTACCTTGTACCGTTCTTGAGCTATTTGCCATAGAACAAAGCATACTTTCACCCATAACACCTGGTCTGAGCAAGAAAACAGAGAAAACGAGCTGTATGTAAACAGGAACATATCAAGCAGAAAAGAGACTTTTAGATGCATTTGTGCTGCTTTAGTGACAACTCAAACATCTTCACACTTGTTCCATTATAAAAATGATAAAAACATGACTTTGAAATAATACTTTTGATGGCAAATTGTTGGCAATTTATTCAGACCAAAACCATCAACCAAAACATCCAACAACAAAGATCAATAAAACTATAAATAATAAAATAGAATGAAGCGTGTGAATTTGAGTGTGTGTGTGTGTGTCAGTGTGTGAATGTGTGTGCATGTGAGTTAGTGAGTGTGTGCGTGTGTGTGTCAGTGTGTGCATGTGAGTTAGTGAGTGTGTGCGTGTGTGTGTCAGTGTGTGAATGTGTGTGCATGTGAGTTAGTGAGTGTGTGCGTGTGTGTGTCAGTGTGTGAATGTGTGTGCATGCGAGTTAGTGAATGTCTGTGTGCATGTGAGTGAGTGTCTGTGTGCATGTGAGTGAGTGTCTGTGTGCATGTGAGTGAGTGAGTGTCTGTGTGCATGTGAGTGAGTGTCTGTGTGCATGTGAGTGAGTGAGTGTCTGTGTGCATGTGAGTGAGTGTCTGTGTGCACCACCCAGTCCTCTGGTCTCTGTGAGGACCACCCAGTCCGCTGGTCTCTGTGAGGACCACCCAGTCCGCTGGTCTCTGTGAGGACCACCCAGTCCTCTGGTCTCCGTGAGGACCACCCAGTCCTCTGGTCTCTGTGAGGACCACCCAGTCCTCTGGTCACTGTGAGGACCACCCAGTCCTCTGGTCTCTGTGAGGTCCACCCAGTCCTCTGGTCTCTGTGAAGACCACCCAGTCCTCTGGTCTCTGTGTTCAGTCAGATATTGTTGAGCGGTCTCAGTCTTTTACCATTATTACTACTATAACTGTTACTACTATACCTCCCATCTCTGTGTGGAGTGAGAGACAAATGCCCAAAAAAAAGTAACAATTGTAAACCGCTTTGTGACTCTGGTCTGTGAAAGGCGCTATATAAATAAAGATTACTTACTAACTACTTACTATACAGACGGAGCAGTGGCTTTAGTCTGAGCTCTGACACTGCTGGATTCTCATCTCTGAGCAGTGAGGGCAGTGCTACCATAGCAATAGCCCCCATCACATCACTGACCAGGCCCTGACCTGCTTAGCCTCAGGCACACATGAGTTACAGTCAGACTTACCGCTGATCGTCCTTTTTAAAGTCGATCCATCGAGGAATGGAGC